GCTTATTTCTTCCCATTGAAGAATCCTCAAATGCACTGCCATCCTTTGGGGAGGGGATATTATCTGGAGATAATTAAAAGAGGGGGGAATATTCCTGTGCAGTGAAGGAATGATGAGAAAGGCATAAATTTGTGGTTTCACTTTTTCTGGAAAACTCTTTATTGATGTCAGCAACAAACCATTACTGAAAATAGCAATCAGGCATTAAAAGAAATGGTCTCTCATTCCTGCCACTACTTCCCTCTGCTTTCTGTTACTGGAATTTCCCTATCTTAACACTAATGTATGGGTCCCAGTTTATAAGGGAGATGTTCCCTTGGTTTATGACTAGAAGACTAACTGTTGTAATCTCCTAAATCTTCCTTGATTTTCACTGTGAATTTCTTTTGGCAGGGGTACTGGCTCCAAAGGAGGTAAGTGAAAGAAGGATTCAATGGAGTGCTGTTCGATAAGAGTTTAAGTCATGATTCATCCTCTTCTAAAATGGAAGTCTAAAACAGATCTGTGGAATCACATCTAAAAGTGGCTACTTCTCTATGCTGATAATGTGGGAGCCCAGAATACCTGTCTCATCAATAGATAATTATGTTGCATTCACCCAAAGCTAGGTTAGAGAAAGAAAAGTTTAGATCTTTTTAACTACTTGTACTGAACTACCCTTCTTCCTTCCAGGAAGCAAAATATACCCTCTGTGAAAACTACTCCTGACAAGGACTTTGAGTGCTGCACCTCATGTTCACAAGACAATGGCAGTGGTGAATGCTTCAAGATTTACTTTTTTATAAGTGGGAACATTTACACACCCACAAGTCAAGTCAGGAACATTTAATAAACACGGGCTCTGTCCAAAGCTGACACAGGCCTTGACAGCTGACTATAATATTTTGTGGATGTGGGTGATGCTTTTCTATGTACTCTGTTCTTTTCAGTGTACCCAATGCATTTAACATTCTTTGCAAACTAACATTCAATATAGGAGAGCATAATCCTGATTTTCCATGTTTCCAAGAGGCTAGAGATGTTAGCAAGAATTTATTTCACCTGCATAGGAGCAGCTCCACTAGTGTGGCACAGTAGGTGTGGGACTGATTTCATGGAGTAAGATAAACACTGTTTTTGTATGTGGATGTCTGCAAGAGAGCTGGTGTCTGGGCTGATATTATAGCCAGAGGAGGGCTAGTCAACACAGCACCAGAGTCTAGCAAGCATCCCTGCTAAATCCATGTAATTGCTTGATTCACCTGTCTAAATAAAATGAGCTGGGTCTGAAACATCCACACAAATGGAGGGCTGACAGAGAGCTTAAAGCTGTCTTCACCTTTGTGGTGATGAGAGTAGAAGGGATACCCTGTGACATTTACACAGGAGATCTCTAGGTTCAAGCAAAGAACATAGTAATACTGTGGACATGCAATTGTGGACATGCTGCATCCTACTCTGTCTCCTAAAAATGATTTAAGGTGGGGCCCATGTGGACATGCAATTGTGGACGCTGCATCCTACTCTGTCTCCTAAAAATGATTTAAGGTGAACCCCAGCACCTCAGTGCCTCTGTTAGCATTTCCCTGCCTTGCAAAGCAGTTGCATTAGACTACACTCTACAGTATGCCATGGTCTCTAGACATCCCACAGCAACAGTGATTACTGGCTGTTGAGACTCCATTGACTTCCATGAAAGTTTAGCTACTTTGTGCATGTACAGACAGCATTCTCTCACTGACTATAATGGGAGCTAGAGTAAATTAGCTCAGCTGAAGGCAACTGCATTATGGATTTGCACTTTCTCATGTGTAGGCATCTCAATTTAGGAGTCTTAAATCCCACTTTGGAATACTCCGTTAGGTTGAAAAACAAACTCCATCACACCACTTATAGTAGGGTCTAGTGCCAGTGTGGGCTGTAAAAGGTGGTAGGAATGTTATATTTTATATCTCCATCCTCACAGGAACATTTTCTTGGTTCACGTGAGAGATGGCTGACTGCAGGATGAGTAATAGTTGGTTTCAGCATTTTCTTTTTTTCTTTTTTCCCACAATTTTCAGCACAATCCACAGTGCTCTGGAAGATCTGCTGTGCTCAAAATATTGCTAAGTCATGCAAAATGCAAAGAATATTAATTTGTGGAGCAGCTCATGAGTAGACAGTCACAGCCACTGAAAACTGCCTGAAGGTCTGGGCAGACATCTACTGCTGTCCACCTCCCACTCCTTATGCTTAACCAACAATTAACCATGAAACCATAACCAAGAGAGCAGGAAGAAGGTGAAAGGAGAGGGATAAAGGCACAGACTTTGGCAGAAAAGCATTTCTGGGTGAGAAAATGATGTAGAGCACTGCAGACTACTACTACTGTTGATGGGTTCAGATATCATCTGCCTCTCTTCTGTTCAGACCCTATTCATTGTCTATTTGCTTATTCCAAGACTCTTTAGGTTTTGTGAGGAAGGGAAAACTCTTCAAACATCACTGCAAAACTTTTGCTTATGCACCATCTCTACAGTGGCTCTCCAGCAATTAAAGCAGAACTGAAGCAGCAGCAACAACAACAAAAAAGAGTGGTTTGTCTTTAAATTTATGTGGCACAAAGCACCAGCAGCTCAAGAAATGAGAGAGCGTTTAGCTCTGCCCTGGGACTTATGAAAACAAGTCTGAGACAAGTCAGTCACTGGGTTAATGCTGGGAAACAAAAAGGGACCTTTTCTATCTGTGCATTCAACAATTTCTGTTTGCACTGGGAACCTCCTGGCTTTCCCACTTCACCTAAAGCCTCCAGGTGTATTTTATAAGCCTCGTAATAGTTTTGGAGCCTCAGTTCAGGAGTTTAATTTTCACATACGATGCCATCTGCCGTCTGGACAGCCCTAAGGGGAATCCTTATTAAAATAACTCTGAGGCAGTAAAGCCATATGTGTAGCTTTACAGCTCATGGAAGGAATTATAGTCATTCAGCCAATAAGAAGAATTGCTCCGTGATGGCACGATAATTTTTCTGTGTATGTAGGGCCTTTAGTTCAATAAGAAGCTGCTCACCAAACTGTGCTGTGAAAAATTAAAGCCTTAGCAGGTGAAAGTTAGTGTAATGTGGACTATTTAGTTGCAGCTACAGTATTTTACACAGTTTACAAAACAGTTTATGTTTACTAATGGAGGAATACGATTTCCCCAGTGTCACTCTCTGCTCTGAAAAGGGAAATGTTCCAGATTCTTCCAGAAGACTTTAAAGGCTTTCACACCAAACTCTTCCTTTAACATGGAAGAGACTTAAGTCTCTGGAAGCCTCAACTGTAATGGTAAAGCAGTATTCAGAGTGGCATGAGTTTCAGTTAACTTTAGAGAGTCTACAGTGCAGACGAAGTTGTCTGAGCCAGTCATCTGAAGCTCCCTTTATAGCCCAGGGAGACATATTTAACTTAGCCAGTACAGTTAGGAGCACTGTTCATGAAGTTAATGTCTGAAGTCAAACTAATTTTAAGTGCCTACTTCTGTCTATATCCTACAAGGAGTTTTATATGGAAGATCATCTCAATCCTTGGTGATTACACTGCAGACGTCTGCATTTTTTAGAGGAGGATTGTTGTGGTTTTTTTCCCATAGCCACACATTTGAATCATTCCCATATGAATTCCAAATTATTTTGGCTTTGACCAATAGGGATGCCATTCAGGAAGTCATTAGGTCACTGGGATGAGAAAAGCTAATCAACTCAACCATGAAATATCAACACGGAGAAATAGTTGTAGCATACCTATAGCTGTGATAATATGGAACTATTTAAGAGTCAAGAGATACATGTAGAGACAATTTTTCTTACTGAGCCAATGACTGGGAGAAGTGATGAGTGCTTGTATACAAGCATTTCTTACAATGAAGGGTGAATCCTACATATTGTCTCCACTTCTAACTGAGGACTATGGCAGTGCATCTGGGACCCTGTTGTAGGCTACTTTGTAAGCCATGTTCCCATCTCCTTATCCAAAATAATGATAGAAATCATAGTGTTCTATCCTCATCGTGAAATTTACTTGATTCTGCTCTAGTGACATGAACAGATTGTTTTTCTACAGGATTGGCTGAATGGGTGTGTTTGGAGGAGGAAGGGGCTGTGCAGTATTGTGAACATCACCCAAGAATGGTAAGGTCTTCTGCCAATGTGAACTACTACAATAAATGTTCTCAGCTTCAGCCCACTTGCTGCTTATGTTTTGAAGGGGGAAAATACGATCATAGTATCATTAAGATTTCAGAATAACCTACTAAGATCATCTAGACCAGCATTCAATCCATCACCACCATGTCCACTAAAGAGCAAAATTAATAAGGGGTTGGCCACTTTGCAATAGAGGAAAGCGCAGCAAAGTTTCTGAACTTCTTTGAACCGTGTAACATGGGCTTCATAGACCCACTGGTCAGGTTCAACCACTTGATGAGATGCTTTTGGCTGCTCCATAGATGTTACAGGCAGGTTTAGCTGAAATGAGAAAGCAAAGGAGTTTGCAAGGCTTCTGAGCTGTGTGGAGCCCACTGCCAGGTATGTTCACTCCCCATAGTCAAAGTCTGTCGTCTGTCATATGACCTTGCACACACTTTCATAGGCCACGTGTGTGCAATACAACCAAGGCAGAACAAAATGTGAGAGAGATTATGGCCATAGAGGAAAAAAAACTCTACCAGTCCTCTTGACTTTAATTAGGCATCATGAGAGGAATTGTGGCTGCTGTTTGTTAAACCCAGAGAACTTTACAGGCTTAACTCCCACTAAAAGCCAGGAAAATTCAGGTGGTCATAAACATCAACAAGGGCACGCAAAAATAAATCCAGTTATGGCATGAATAGGTAAGGCAGCAAGCAGTTCCTTGCTTCTTTTCATGGATGTGCAACTCCGTTCTCAAAAGAAAAAAAAGAGAAAAAAAAAAGCCAAAAGCAACAGCTTGTCTGAGTATATGAAAACATAGACAAAAACTTAGCTACTACCAAAAAAGATCTTAGTCTGATAATTTTACCTTTGCATCAGGATTTGACTTAAATTCATCTTGATGTCCCATTCAGGACTGTGAAGGTATATCTTCATCTGTATCTGGCTTTCTCGTGCTCAGTATTCCATGCAGTTAGGTAGGAGCAAAATACCTAAAAAACCATGTTTACTGAGGCTAGGACCAAAGTACTGACTCAAAATTTTTAGATTGCAAATATTTATAATTTAGTCTTCTATAATTAGAAGTCATCAAGACCCAATCAGCACTAGCTATCTCACCTGCTATCAGTAAGCAAATGCTTCTTGGAACTGGCCTGGTTTGTTTCCTAACCAACTGGTATATTAATCCCAGAAATTCAATATTTGCTTAAGATAAAATGTCCTCCCAAGAGAAGTACTGCTGTACCAGGCAAGCGCCGGAAGAATAAGTGGGAAGTGTTCCCCTTTGCTAGAGCTCAGCTCTGACAAGGGAAAAATGAAGGAAATGGCAAACATTGAAAATGACAGGAAAAAAATGCAAGAAATTTAAATAAGGGGATAAACATGTGACTGAGGTGAATTACACATGGTGGAGTGTGACAACTTCTGAGCGCAAGAAGTTCTTCAGTGACTTTCACACTCCACTCTCCGTAAACAAGGTCTCATACATCCACGTGCTCTCTGATGGATCCTCTAGTGCTCTATCAGATTTACCTCTCATGACTCCAATCTGGTAGGATTAGCTACCTACCTCTGGTAGGATTAACTACCACTGACAATTATAGAGGTTAGGCCAATATTAAAGATCTTTGCTGGTAAGTAATGATACCAGTGGCAGCACTCCTGATCAAGTCATCAGTTTTCTCACTTAAACATTTGTTTCCTTGTCACTCCACATCTTGTGTCATCTGGGTTTGGCAAGCACAGGTACATCACGACAAGTTAAAAACCCATTTTCAACAGATGAGTAGCCATGTTCTTAAAGTTTCTCTAAACGATTTGCAACAGGTCTATTATAAGAAAAAAATCCAAATGTTTCAGTTCTGATCACAGTCCATTACAATTTCTTTAATGAGAACATTAGATATCTCCATTCCATACACATATGTGAAAAAAAGTAAGTCTTGCACATATGAAAACACTTACTGCAATGAAAAAACTCACAATATTCAAAATTATTTTCCTGCCTTGTCTGACACTGATACTCCTAGATAGGCGTACAAAAGATGTTTGGGTTTCAAGGTTAGTACCAGAGCCATGAGGAATATGGAGAACATTAGGCAGTTTAGTGTGTGATGGGATGACTCCTCAAGGCTTGTAGATAGTTCCCAGAACAGCAGGCAAAAGGCTGCAGGAATTACTAACAAACAAACAATGAAAAAGCAATAACAACACATTGAAAGTTATCCTTACACAAATGATCCTACAGTAATACCACCTGGTAACTGAAAATGAGCTCTTTGATTTCCTCATTTGCTGGCACACAAATGTTGGGAAAATACCACAGAAGTGTTGGAAAAAAAATTAAAATGAAAAACAGGAGTGCTACCTGTCCCCAGTTTCAAATGTCCCCTCTGGCCAATGCAGAAAGCAAATTGTAGAACTCAACCTTTCCTCTCACGTCAGTGATTATCATGGAACGTTCTATCACCCTGATGGACTCCAAGACTTGAAAAGTATCACCAACACTCCTTCTGTCTAGCAGGACATATCCATCTTCAGATAAAATTATGCATATAGCACAATGTAGCTTCATGCAGATTTATCTGAGCCAGCTTTGTACACATGTTGATTTGCCAGAACCAAAATCAGCAGAAAACTGCCAATGCAACAGTCTTGAAAGGAGTGGCAATTAACAGGCTGCACCTGAAGTCACAGTAACACTTCTCTGTTGACAAATGTTCATGAAATGGAAGGTCCTTCTACCGAATTCCCTGATCCCTTCCTAGTGGGAATGCGGTTGTACAATGGGAAGTGAGTTATGTTAAGGAAAACTGTATCTTACTGAAAGATTCTGGAAATCTTTCATCATCACTAAATTAAGGGCCAAATGAGTATATTGGGAAGAGTGAGAAGGGAAGTCTTGATTTAGACATGTCTGACAGAAAGTAGGGAACTAACATCCATATACATAAGGGACTACTGAGTACTACCATCCACTCCAGGTGCAAGGAGTGCCAAGCCCCCCGAACAAAACAAAAAGCCGGGTCTCCACTGGGTGACTGGATAAAAGGAAGAGATCTGAGACATCTCATTTGAACACAAATGTAAAATGCAGAAGTACAGATATGTCAATCTGAAGCTGCATTTTCCTACAGATCACAATTGATTGACTAAATGCAAGTGCCTGAAATCATTTTAGGCACAAAGGCACATTCCTGCTGGGTGTCCAGAAGAAGGCTATGCAATATATGACCACAAGCTGCATGTAAAACCAGTGATTTCCAAGACAGATTGCTCATGCTCTTATTGCATGTATGCTATCCAAAAAGAAATCCTGCTCACTATTGCTCTGTTCTCAATGCTGCACTGCAGTTACTGTATGCACACAAACATCTACAAGAGTCTACATGATAATGTCTGTGTCTGTATTAGGAATAGGACTTCCACATAGCCTTGTGCCCAGTGATATTTGAAAGACCTCAGAGTACCCAAGTTATCTATGTGGGGCTCACAGATACAATTTAGAATCTATGGGAAACTCCCATCTGCTAAGTCCAAATGGAATAGTCCACAGTAATTCAGATGGTCCCAAATGTCTGTCTTTGGTCAAACGAATTCCACACTAGACATTTAAGTTCCAAGTACATCTGAAATGGATGACAAAAAGCTACTAATTTTATGTCATGGAGTCTATAGACATAGGTGACTGAAAGAATATAAGTGTTTGCTTTAGGGAAAGAGGTACAGCTCCTCAACTTTATTAATTAGATACCAATCACAATGAATTCATGGATATCCAGCTCACACGTAGTTAGCTATGTTTGTATGGGTGAATCTGCTAGGTAATTTCCACATGAGGAGGCGAAGATCATCACCAAAGGAGAGTCCTAGTCATTACCATCTACATCTAAAGAAAGGCTATAATCAGACTTCACTCAACACCTCCCTTACCTTTTCACAGAATCATAGAATGGCCTGTGTTGTAAAGGACCACAATGATCATCCAGTTTCAACCCCCTGCCACAGCCAGTGTCGCCAACCAGCAGCCCAGGCTGCCCAGAGCCACATCCAGCCTGGCCTTGAATGCCTGTAGGGATGGGGCATCCACAGCCTCCTTGGGCAACCAGTTCCAGTGCCTCACCACTGGGTGAAATAATGTTCCTCCTGTCTCATTCAATGCAATGCTGAAGCATTTCACAGTGATAAACAAATGTGCTCCAGGATATCCCACGTAAAGTAAGGAAACCATTTTCATCTCAGTCCAAGCTCACGAGATTGACAAGAGCTGCTGAGTTGTCCAAGACCAAAGTAGAAATCTTCAGCAAGAGGCTATGATATGGCTTTCATCCTGCCCATTCCCAGCTAGTAGTCTACTTCTCATTGCAATAATTGTGGTCACCTATCTACCTGTTTTGGATGAAGAAGTCTGACAAACAATTCCTGGGTTTTCCTCAGGTCACACGTAGACTTTCTCAGAGGCACGAAGACCACAAAACCAACTGGAGAGTGAGTTGAAAACAATTGCTGACAAGAAACATAGGGTGAAAACAGAGAGAGATGATGGGAGAAAGAAAAAAAAAAAAACAAAAGGGAAAAAGGAGATGAAAGCCTGAAAGAAGTTGGATGAAGAAAGGAAATTGCAACATGATACTCTGTGCCAGGCAACTGGCTGCAGGCCAGGCTGTAATAAGGACCATCACCCCAGGAGTGCAGAGCAGGCCTTGCTCGCTGTGCCTCTGTTTGACCATGAACCTGGGTGTTCCAGCAGCAGCATGTGAAAATATTTAGTCTGCTGCAGGCGGGAATGTTTGGGAAAAGAGATAGGAAGGCCTGCATTCCTCCAACCCCACAGTCCGATCCTCCCCACATTCCCTGGCGCTCTGCCAGCGCTCAGGCTGGTCGGGTTTTTTGGGGATCTGCTCTTATTTCTCTTTCTTTTGCTCAGATCACATGAGAAGCGAGTGCTGTTTTAATATCAGCCCTTTGGTTTAAAATCGGGTGGAGAGGGGTCACTGGCTAGATGCGAAAACTGCTTTATGAGGATGAAAACTGCTTTCTTTAGTCTTCCCTATCTCTGCATCGTCTGTGTAGAAAAACAGCTGTGTCAAACAAAGACAATCTTCCTATATGCCAGAGACAAACAGAAAAGAGCCTAGTCTCGGCCTGGACACCTATGCCTGAATAAAACACAGACATCCTTCTGGAAATAATAATAATACAAATTAATAACTAATAATAATAACTAAAAAAATAATGAAATGCATTTTTTTCTGCTTCAGAGGTAGGTTGTAAACGCTTTGTTCCAACTCAGAAGGCATTACAAAGCACAGGGCCAACGAAGAAGATACCTGAGAGAGCTGCATCTTCCAAAGGTACAAGAGAAATGGGCCACCGGAGACGGCCAATTGCCATGTTCTGTTGTGTCTGCTCACAGCAGTAGACATTGGCCACAGAAGATGAAATGAGGTACCAGCAAGAATCAGTTGGGTTCTTTCTGCTTTCTCTAAACAGCTTCGTTGCTTGAATTACCCATAGATCATCTGTGAAATGACAGAATAAACCACAATGATGTGGTCTGGGTGCGGAAGGAGTTTCTCCCCCCTTAGTGCACGGGGAGGACACTGAGGTCACATCTATCGAAGGAAAAAAAGAGAGATCAACACCAGGGAATATTCCCAGACCCTGGAACTCCAATCCCTCAGACAAGTAGATTGCTGCAACAGTCCCTTGCATGGTTTTGACCCAGACCAACCACCACCCCGCTGTACTTCAGAAATGAATCATAAGATCATACAATGGCTGGGTTGGAAAGGACCATAATACTCATCCAATTTCAACCCCCTGCTACATGCAGGCTCACCAACCGCCAGACCAGGCTGCCCAGAGCCACATTCAGCCTGGCCTTGAATGCCTGCAAAGGCGGCAGAGTACATATAGAAAAACTGCTTGAAGAGATTGTCAGAGAGGTAGTTTATGAAGATAGTTTGTCTCTGGCATGCAAGTAACACCTGTATTTTTGAAAACT